CCGGACCTCGTACACTGTTGAATTAGTAGAATCATAGTGGTGCTCAATCGTACTGTAGCGACTAGCCACTGATTATCAGTGGTATACTTATCACTATTTGAAACAGTAGTTATACACTGATAATCAGTGATTTTTCACTGATTCATTTTTAGAGAGTATAGCAGTACTGATAATCTATAGACGATCCCAGACGTGTCCATGTTTTCATACACAATATTCTTAAAGTGTTTTTGATAATGGAGGAAAAATTAACAGAAATCGGCCTGGAACACCTAATTCCGGTGTTTGAAGGTAAATACAGTTTTTTGATATTGCATGCCAGCATATATGAGGGTATGATTTTCTTAGCACATATTAAACATGCTTATGAAAGATTTATTCTTTGTTTCTTTATCTTACTTTAATGCTACACATGAATAGAAGAAAGAATAGGGTTGGAAGAATTGCGATCCCTTATTTTGGATAGTAATGAATATAAACAGCTTTTTCTGCGATGTGGTGACCGAATGAAATTAAATAAATTAATGGCTGAAATTCCTCAAACCAAAGACAATCCTATTGAACATTCCAACGAAATACTTTTAGATATCCCTGATGTGTGAGTTGTATAAATTTTTTAGTTAAATAACTTTGATTGCATGAAAATGTTCTTTGTTTGCGTTTGCATTTATGTTTGCGTAAACTCATCATAGCCCAGCCTTTATGTTAATTTTTTTCTTGATTCCTTGGTCTTTGACTTTCTTTTAATTAACAAGTAATACTTTTTTTTATATATTTTATATATTTTAGAAGCATGCCTGAGAAATAATATATAAGCATATTTTGTAAATTTATAATTTTATTCAGCCTCCATGGTTTCATATATAAAATATATATCGTTTAATTTCAAATACAGAATTGACTTGTTAAAAGAAGAAAATATAATAAATGAAGTAATAGAAGAAAATGTGATACAAGAAAATGTAATAAAAGGTGTAATGAAAGAAGTGGCGTGCACACATCCAACAAAAAAAAGACAAGAAGTATTTAATTTGAATGAGGTACTGAACTCTTGTAGAACGGGCCAAGCGATTTTATCATTGTACTGTTCTAAAGGAGAATTAGACAGTGCATGTCAAATATTTTTGGTTGATATAATTGTGCAACATTTTTTAAATATTGAGCCATTTCGGTACGTATATTAAAAAATTTATAACTACATCTTTTGATTTAATTATATGTTATCAGATTCTTTAGCATTATTTATATATATTTGGAACTAAATTCTAATAAATTCTTCCAGCCGTCTTACAAATGACGATTTTGATTCTATATCAAACGATATAATAGAAGTTTTTCCTAAGGAAGTAAAAGAAACCTATTATATTCCACCTATAAGAAAATGCAACTCAAAAGATAATAGATGTAGTGTAGCTAGAGGTAAACTAGTGGATAAGTATAAAAATAAAATTACGTTTCTGCGAACTGCTGGAATTTTACCACGCTGCCGAATTAGGAAAGGTTTTTGTGAGAACAACGTGGAAGGTACAGTATCATGCCATGCATCATCGACGATTGTCAATATATAACAATTTATAATAAAAATAAAATTAACATAATTAATAACTTTATCCAAATGATGATATTACAATGTAGTATACTATTTGTAGTTATTATAGCAAAGAAGTATTTTATTGATGTTTGGAACGTTTTCTCTTTAATGCTTAAGATAATTTTATTTTAGAGCTAAACAGTGCAGATTTAATATGGCTGGAAAATAATTTGGATCCCTGGGAAGAAGTTATAGAAAAGTGGGACAAAACCTTTTCTAGTAGACAAAAGATATTTATGTCACAAGAAAATGTGAAACAAATACTTTTAAAGTGTCCAATTATAAAAAATTCTAAAGGATTTTTATTAGTAAGTGTTATAATACAAATTAGGATTTCTGAGTTAATGTTCTAGATATAATTTCTTATTTCTGAATAATTTATTTAGATTGAAAACGATTTTAAAAAGAAATTTCCGAATAATCATGGTGAAATATATGTAAGATTCGAAAATGTATTTGAAAAATTATTACTCATCAGCAAATCCCATTTGTCTGACAGTGATAAGTTAATTTTGGAAATTATAAGACACAAAGAAAATGTATCAAAAGGTTAGTAATGTTATTTATATTGAGAGGTTAATTATTTTAGTAATAATGATATACTTATTCTTTAACAACTTATTCTCTAACAAGTGTTGCAATTGACTAGACAGTATTTCTTCAATAGTATGTTTATCTAGATAATACATTTGAATCATTACAGATTCTATGCATTACTTCATGCTGTATTTAATGTTTTCATTATTGCCTTCAAAATCGGGATATAAAAAAGGAACAACTAATTAGAAGCCTAATACTGAAGATAGTCGAAGTGGAGTTGTTGTACATGTTAAGGTAGATTAATTATTGTACAATTATTTTAACAATTAACAAACTTTAATAATTTTTAAACGAACTTTTAAAAAAAAATTTCTCACTTTAGATACCTGCTGATATTCCCACTATTATAGAAGCTAAAACGAAGCAAATGCAAAAATATGGGCTTCCAGTGCAACCTTTCGTAATCATCCAAGGACCTACACATACCGACATAAAGAAAGTTTTCGTGAGTTTCGAAGATATACTATATGAATCAGTCACGTTCTTGAAAGCTTTAGATATTTGTTTTCAATTAACTCACGTATTAAATCTTCATTATCCATATGAATCACACCACATATGGTTATTTATTCAAAGAAGTATGTACAACATGAAGACAGAATTTGACAATATCCCGAATATTATTAACATTGCATCTAAAGTAAATGCACAAATTAATTAAGAAGTTTATATTCATTGATATTATTAATTATTATTATTCAGGGTTGGAAAGTAACTCGTTACTTGTAACGAAGTTACAGTTACAGTTACTTCTTTTTGGTAACTCTAACTTAACTTCGTTACTTTCTCTACATCTGTAACTGTAACTTAACTCAGTTACATTTTTTCGATAACTAGTAACTAATTTAATAGTTACATTAAGAGTTACTTTATATATTTTTTCAACCTCCACAGATCGCATTAGGCCTTCGCATTTGCGCATAAACGCCTTTATCGCCGCTTTACAATTCAAATGCAGATTCGATATTTTTATTTTTATTGCAAGGGAGTAACTGCAAAGTAACGATTCGTTACTTTTCGAGTAACTGTAACTGTAACGCGTTACTTTTCAGAATTGGTAACTTGTAACTGTAACTAGTTACATTGTTAGCGAAAAAACTGTAACTGTAACTAGTTACTTTTATAAAGTAACTTTCCCAACCCTGTTATTATTGCATTATTACTACTGTTCTTACATTACATTTGTCGAGATTTACATTACATTTGTAGGTTTGTAGAGTGTATGCATGCATTTTAATCATGCATTGTAAACACTGCAATAGAAGTTTTTGTTCGAAAGACAGTTTCACAAATCATATACATGCTACTCACAAGTATCAAAATTCGTTTTTATGTGGACAAATCAATTGTCATCGATCATTTAATTCAATTAAAGCGTTAAAACGTCACTTAAATAATTCTTTTATTAAAAATGATAAAAATACGAATGTATTACAGATATATGATAAATTAAAACTTGAAAGTACCGTTCTCTCCAATGAAGATAATGTTACAGATACTGTTACAGATAATGTTACAGACTTTAAAAAACCTGCAGAAATGGTATTACCATTATATCAAAATACAAATGATATGCTTGTTTTAAATTATATTTCAAAACTTTACAATAATAATGCAATTCCTCGTTCTGCTATTCAGAATATTATAGAAAATACTTCTCAGCTAGTTACGAACCTTCTCGATAATGTTAATTCCCAGTCACAATCAGAAAATTTTAATATACCGATGTTAAGAAACTATTCTAATTATATGGAACCATTTATAAATTTTGACACTGAATATAAACGATTTTGTAGCCTAGAAAAGTTGCAGTTTCTAATAAAACCAAAATCGTTTCATATTGGACAAATATTGGATAATGTGAATACTACAAACGGTGTCCAAATAAAAATGAAAAACTGCGAAGGTCAAATAATTCCCATGAGAATAATTTTAAAAAAATTCTTAGAATTGCCGAATGTGTTAAACAATATATTGAATTACATAACAAATGAGAATAGCTCAAACAATATTTCTAGCATTTTTAAGGGGATGCTGGAGTGGATTTATTTACCGACAGAGTCGGATACCGTTTTTGCGTTTGTAAATCTTATTATTTGCATTTATGTACAAACTAATACC